ATGCAGTAACCACTGATATTGGCAGTAATATGGTGAAAGCGGTGGAGTTGTTATTATTGCATGGTGATGACGAAGAAAGTGACAGTGAAAGTGAAGACAATTACGAAAGTATTGTGTGCAATGTAAGATTCGAAAATATTATTTATATTAAATGTGCTGCCCACACATTGCAGTTAGCTCTTAAAGACTTTTTAGATAACTTAAATACAAATGTAGTGAATAAGTTACGGAACTGTGTAAAATATTTGAGAACACCTGCATATCGGTAAGTTATTTCCTTAAACTTTACATGTACAAAATGTGTTTTTGTTAAATTTTTCATTCTATTCCAGACATAGTATAAAAAGTAGCCAAAACCTCAAACCAATAATGGACGTACCAACACGTTGGAGCTCCACTTATAATATGTTGAAGCGACTTCTAGATTTAAAAGAATTTTGCTCTGAACATTTGCCATTGTCCGAGCAACTCCAAACACATGAGTGGGCGGAACTAGAAAAAATTATACAGGCTCTACAACCAGTAAATACTCTGACGCTGAAACTACAAAAATTTAATTTATTGTTCGGAGATTTTTCTAAAAATTGGCTAGAGCTTATTTTTACTCTAAAAGGCTTCAATATTGATATGACCAGACAACTTCTGGATCACATCGAAATAAGGCAAACAAAGTTGCTTGAATGTGACACTATGTATGCAGCCTTGTTTTTAGACCCCAGATTTAAGCGTGTGTTCTCAAATGAGAAAATAAACTCGGCAAAAAATCATTAAAAAAATGGTGCTCCAGCTAGTAAACGTGGTGAGCTAAGACAATAAATTTAAAATAATTTATAATATATTTTTAATGTTTTTTTATTTGTATTCAAGCAAAACACTGAAACTTATTTCTAATAGATGAAAGCTCCATTGCAAGCTCTCGATCTTTATTAGCAGACGGTTTAAAGTCAATGGAGATGAATTATTCGTCTTCGGACGACGATGATATTCCTACGTCAATAAATGACAGCGTCCGTAAAGCGTATTTTGAAATAGACAATTATAAAGAAAAACGTTTGGATACTTCTGCTAATTTATTGGAATATTGGGAGAGCAAAAAATTTGCGTTTCCATGGCTTCGAAAATTAGCTTTAATTGTTCATTCTGTACCTGCCACTCAAGTCAGTGTAGAAAGGTCATTTTCGGCACTCAGATTGATATTGGGAGATTTGAGATATAATTTATCTGAGGAACATTTAGAATCAATTATGATGGTAAAATTGAACACCTGAAAACACCTCTTAACACTGACTTGAATGGCAGCCAAAACTTATAAGCCTCTCGCAGTAGTAACCATTACTTTTTAAGTTTTACGTAAGCTAAGAATTTTAGAATTTTTTCTATTTCGCCCTATTCATTTATATAGCTGATACATTATCCATAATATTTTCATAATTGTCTATATTTTAATTGTCAGTTTCTTCTTTATCACTACGCCTAAATTTGCTTCTTCTGAATACTGTTTTAATTCAAGCATTGCCACCGTGAATATATCTACGTAGTTTACTGGATCTTTGATAATGGATAGGTCGCATATATTCATATATACAAATTGGAATGATGCAGCATATTGTAATACATACGACATAAATAAATAAATAAGAATTTTGAATTGATTTTTATTATTGATATAAAAATATAAAAATCAAAAATAACTCTTATTTTTTGATATAAAAATATAAAAATCAAAAATAACTATTTTTTGATATAAAAATATAAAAATCTAAAATAACTTTTATTTTTCATCTAAAAAAATTAAAATCAAAAATAACTTATTTTTGATCTAAATATATAAAAATCAAAAATAACTTTTATTTTTGATCTAAAAATATAAAAAACAAAAATTACTCTTATTTTTGATCTAAATATATAAAAAACAAAAATAACTCTTATTTTTTGATTTTTTTTGATAAAAGTCATGAGTTACGGTCCCTGATTTTAAGACTTCCACCAAAATATCTCGCAAAAATATTAAGATTTACACGAGATGGACCGATTTGAAAATACCTCCAAAAATTTATTTTTTTTATTAATAAAAACAGTTTTTTTTAATATTTTTTGAAAAAATTACCTCAGATGACTGAACAGTTTATTCTTAAAAAGTTTTCATAAAAATATTAAAAGAAAAAAATTGTTTCTACGGAATCATAATAATGAGGTTTTTGATGCTGTTTTTGCACTTTTTTTCAAAGACTCGTTTAAGTAAAACTTGAATAACTCAGCCAAAACCTTACCAATTTGGACTAATGAGGTATCATTGGTAAGGTATTTTCCCACCCTTTTAATTTCTTTGCGAATAAGCTCATTCAAAGTATGAAAGATGAAGGTAAGATAAACGAGTATCATTCCATATTGAATTAAGATGTGTTGGTATTAAATAAAGAAAAAATTGGGACGGGAATAAGTTTTTTTTGAAAAGAAATAAAAAAGGTGAAAAAATACCTTTCCACTGATACCTATATCGGAAAAGTTTTGGAGCAGTGATTAAAGTTTTTCTTACACAAATCTTTGAAAAAAGTTAAAAAATAGCATAAAAAATCTCATTATTATGATTCCGTTGATACAATTTTAATATTTTTATGTAGATTTTTTAAGCTTAAACTGTTTTGTCATCTGAGAGGATTTTTTCCAAAAAAATCCTTTAAGAAACTATTTTTATTCATAAAAAAATCCATTTTAATAGGTATTTTGTAACGGTCCTTAAATATACTAGGTTTGGTAATCCCGCCGGAAAAACCGAAACTTTTTTTGGGGATGCAGTCTAATGTACAGTAGTCGAAAAAATTATAGCCGCACCAAATTTTCACAAGTTTTAAAATATAATTTTCGTTGTTATTTAATTTTGGTTAGTTTTTTACAGTTCATTCTCGAACAACATCCGTATAAATACAAGTTTAAAGACAGTGTCACACGATTGGGTATTTGCCAAAATTTGGTGCAAATCATATCCCAAATATTTTTCTTAATCCCAATCACGAAAATTCAGCCCTATTCTGCATTTCGACTCCAATCGAAATTTTTTCCGTTTGGCAATTTTGGTATTCTGCGTTCCGTTTCCTTTCGTCCAGTCCAGGCGTTTTTGTTTTCATCTATATATATAAATGTGAATGTCTGTTTGTTTATTACCTAATATCTTCTGAACCGCGGCACGGATCGTACGAAACTTTGCACACTTATTTGCTTTTACCCCGGGAAGGTTATAGGCATAGAGAAAAATGGGCAGTACTAGAAAAGAGGGCGTGGCGCCGCCTATACTGTCGAGATAAATAAAATTAATTCCATACTCATGGGAAACAATTTACGGTATTGGAAAAGGGGGCGTGCCTCCTCCCATAGGCGTAAATTATTTAATCAGCTCTAACTTCGGAACCGTAAGTCACATAAACTTGAAATTTGGTATGCAAACATATCTATGGTAGATGCTTATCTTAAGGTATATATAAAGCAGTTCGGAACCATAAGTTACATGAACTTGAAATTTGGTATGCAGACATATCTATGGTAGGTGCTTACAGTAAGGTAAATGAGTTTGTAAAATGGGGCGTAGCACTTAACATAGGCTTGGAACTTTCACCAGCCTTTACCCAGCAAACATTGAGGTTAGTTACGGATTAGAGAATGATTGGAGAACTAGCCACATTCTCCAATCTCAAACGTTAGAGAATGACTCGAAAAACTATTGAGAATCATAGCGATCACAACAAAAATGGCACATAGTTCTCGACTCGAGAAAATAATAATTCTCTAATCGAATTCTAATGCTGATCTCTAATGGGAGTCGAATGTGAATTTCAAACTGCTGTGTTTTGCTTTATTAAATAAAACGCGTTGTTTGTAAAACTTGTATTAAATTTATTCCCAATAAAATAGTAATAATGAATTATTTGAACTTAAACATAATATATGATTCATTAATTTGGAATATTGCTTATTTACCTAAATTTTTTTCAAAACTTTAAAACTATCATATGCTTTGTGTTTTTTGTGTTTTGTTAAGATGAATTAATTTAGATTAATTAAATTTGTTAAGATTAGATTAAAAAATATTGCTAAAAATTAATAAAATGGTTTACTTAAAGTTCATTCACATGCAGTCCTTATAAGTGTTACATTTAGCCTCGTTTCAAAAAAATAAATGGAATTCCTTAAATTTTACACCGACGCACTATAGGCGCCATGGATAATGGAATGAAAATTTCTTTATCGTGAAGACAAATGATCATATAATATAGGAAAACTATTGATAAGTTACAACAACAATAACTTAACTTAACTTGTAACTTCGCTATAGTTTTCCTATATTCTATGATCATTCATCTTCACGATAAAAAAAAATTTTCATTCCATTATCTCTTCTCTAACGGAAGATCTACGATTTTGAAAAAAACTCGTGTTTTACCTATAGTGCGGCGGGCCGATAATTAGAAACAGGCTGACTTCCAAAACGTCAATTGCTTTGCATACGTACAAAGTATAATGTTCCATAACGCCGAACTACAAAATGTTGACGATGTATACTTTTCCAAAACGCATCCGAAAATTTATCGAAACGCATCGCTAGCGCATGCAGCGCATCAGAAACAAAGTTGATGCTTCGTTTGTTATTGGTTACCATTGGTGTTTTAAAAATGGAAAATTCAGAAAAACTGTTCATTGCTATATTGAGTATTTAAAATATGCAATGTATATGATTGCAATGTGTCGCAAACTCTGCATATACAAACAGTTTGAATACCGCAGTATAACAGTTTCCAAACAATGTATTGATACGTTTTGGAAGTCAGCCACAATTTGTCTTTAAAAATTTTGACTATTTACTTTTTCTATATTTCTTTTAATTTTTTTATTACAACGAAATCCACATAACTTAAAGTTTTCAACCTTGTACAAGATTTATAAAAATTCGTTTGATTTCAAAAAATGTGGTGAATTTTTATAAATCTTGTACAAGGTTTAAAACTTCAGGTTATGTGGATTTCATTGTAGCATGAACTATATTTTCGACAAAATATATATGTACAAATACAATAGCTTAACTTAAATTAGAATGGTTAAATACCATTTTTTACCCCGTTTTAGCTCAAGTTTAGAAAATTGAAAAAGTAGAAGGTTCATTTTTAAAATTATAAAGCACTTTAATTAAAATAAATGGATAAAGTATTGTTAATTCATTCAGTCTTAGTTTTCTTAAACTCAGGTATAATTCAGTTTTTTTTTTTTACTTTTACTTAAAATTAAAATGACTATATACAGGGCTTGGATTGTTCAGCAAAAACTAGCAATACATACTATATACACATTTGTATGTGATTTTCGGTGACAAAATGGATGTATACGAAAATGGCATTTTCGAGCCCTGGTATGAAGTTGTCTTTAGGTTTCTAGACTACTATTTCTATTGCTTTGATATACAGTGCGTTTTAGAAGTCGTCCTTTTGCATGCTGGAAAAAGGTAATGAAGGTTCGTGCGAGTTCGTCGTCTGTGGATTGGGGAAATTTCACGGAAAGTACATCTGGAAGATAGAACTAACAAATAAATAAATTTGCATGCATGTTATTGAAACAGTATACTTTTTAAAGCTGCTGTAATGCTTAAACTTCTTGCTGCCACTTTGGTGTTTGTCCCTTTCCAGCATAAATTTTGTGCTGCGTTATCCGTAACAATTTTACGCCAAGCCATTTTAATAAATTTTTCACGCTCGTACAAATTATATGCGAAAGTTCTTCAGACTAAAAATAAATTTTTGCAATCACTTAATATAATAGTTCATTCATATTGATTGAACAAAATAATTACCAGACTTTCGTATTTGGAAGAATGGTCCTTAATTTCCTTTTCAAATTTTTTAAAATCCTCAATGTTGCCAAAGGGTGTTTTGGGGATAATCTCATTCCATGAAGTTTTGTGGCTGTATTTCCTTTGTTTTCTTTCTTGCAAAATTCGTGTAAGGCTTCGCTTTATTGATTTTTGGTTGTGATCTATTTCTGTAAAGTGTATATATGTATATATATATATATATATATATTAGGCCGGGTCGATTTGTGGGGAGGCAAAAAAATCGCCCATTGCTCTGTGAAAATCATATTCTAGGGATCAAAATAAGAAACTTTGCCGAAGGAACCATACCTCTAAAACGAATTCTGATGTCCCCCAATTTGGGTCGAACTTTTGGGTAGGGGCAAATTTTGAAAAATCCCACTTTGACCCATTTAGAGTGCTCCAATCGAGTCCAAATGTATGACCGACCCCCACTAACTTTGGAGGCCCGACCCACCGATGCCAGTGGCACACCCCCTGGAACCCCCCTGGGGGTTCACCATACAAAACATTTCAAAAAATCGCCGGTTTTGCACATTACATGAAAAAATCAGCGAAATGCCTATGTTTTTTCTTTTTGGAGTTTATTTTTCTCTTTAGAAATTTATTTAGTCAGAACATATGTAAATGAAAAAATGAATTTAACTTAGTAATAGAAAAGAAATTAAAAAAAATTATTAGAAGTTAGCGTTTTTTACAACCCTTTTAAAACCAAGGCATCACTGTGATGCATTTGCATGTCGTAAACATAGTTGTGTGGGTTTTTTATTCAACCGTTTTAAAAAATGAAGGTATCACTGTGACACAATTGCAAATCGGAAAATTGCTTGTGTGCGTTTTTTAAGACACAGCTGCATGTCGTAAACTTACTTGTGTAGTTTTTTTATAGCACCTACTTAAGAAATGAAGATTGTTTTTACAACCCTTTTTGTGGGTATTTTAAGGCACCTTCTTAAGAAATGCGCGTTTTTTGCAACCATTTTAACAATTAAGGTATCACTGGAATGCACCGCAACCCTTTTAAACAATGAAGGTATCACTTTGACACAATTGCAGATCGTAAAATTGCTTGTGTTGTTTTTTTTAAGCCACCACAAGACACAGCAGGTAGAATTGAAATTACCATTTCATTATTACCTCGTCTCGTAGACCATATATAACGCAACAGTTTTTGTGAATGCATTAAGTCGTTGTGAAGAACTCAAATTGTGAAGTGCTAATTTCAGATAAAAAAATATTTCAAAAAAAAATAATAAGTGAAGTGACCATTCCAAATCAAAAAGTTTACAATGAATCCACCATCCTCTACACCGCAAGATGAAGCACCTACATCAACAACTATCGAAAACCCAATGAGTCATATACCCAAGCATGATGTTACTGTTTTTGGTGTGTCTACTGATTTAACTGATCTTAATTTACCAACCCATCTGGATATCTTGAGATATTATTTTTACTTAAGCGAACGTGCTAAAACAGAACAAAAAAAGTTTTCCCATAAATCATTCACTATTCAAGTACAAGATAAGTTGATTGGAATTTGGGAAAAACTTGGTATGGAAATAATGCTGAAATAAGTGTATTTAATAAATTGAATAAATTGCTTGACAAGTATCAAGAGCAAATCAAGAGAAGAAACAACACCCAACAATTTACAGAGTATGTAAAATATCTGGAAAGAATTTTTTACATTGGAACATGTAAATGCGATTTGAAGGCAGCTCCATGTGCATGCGGCTGGGTTCCCGAACGCCTCAAAGAGTTCATGCACGATCAACATAATCAGAGAAGACTAACAATGGATGCATTTGTGATGGAAACTGAAGAGCAAGGAGCAACGTCTATGTCATCAATGCCAACATACCAAGATCCCGATGATTCAACATACGCACCGCCACCGGTTCAAGAAGATATGGATAGAAGCACAAGTTCACAATACACAGAGAGATACGATTGTTTTAACTTTGCCTTGGTATGTAACAGGTTTGGTGTGCCTGACAGAGTAGCATCAGCATTGGGAACCGCTCTTTTGCAAGATTTTAAAATTAAAGATAAGCATGGGAGACCTCTCATCAAGGATAAATCGAAAGTTCGCAGAGAAAAAGAGAAATGCAGACAAGAAGTGCTTCGCAAACGGTTAGATGATACCAATTTGTTAGCGTTTTCATTCGATGGCAGAAAAGATGATACTTTAACGATATATAAAATTGATGAGAAGTATCATACTAGGATGGTAAAAGAACCTCATCTTGTTATTTTGAGAGAACCCAATTCTGAATTAATTGGTTACGTAAGACTGGAACAATAAACCGCTGAATACAAAAAAACCAAATGAAATGGTTTTTTCAACGATAAAAATATATCACTGGATGCATTAATTGGAATATGCACTGACGGTGAGCCAACAAACACTGACCCACACGGTGGAATTATACGACGATTCGAATTGCTGTTAAAAAGACCAATGCATTAGTTCGTTTGCCTTCTACACTTCAACGAACTTCCGTTTCGGCATTTGTTTGAAGCTTTGGATAAATCAACCAGCACTGGACCAAGATCGGCAACCGGAAAACTGAGCCGTCAAATCGAAACTTGTGAAACTCTTCCGGTAAGTTATTGCTATCACTCATTTATTATAATTGTAAATCATTTTTAATTATTTTATTATTATATATTTTCAGGTGGTGGACGGCTTCCAGAAAATTGAGTTGCAAAATATGCCCCCTGAATACTTCCAATGGTTGCCTTTCGCACTCACCTTGCACACACACAGTTTCTTTCCGCTCTAAGGAAACACGTTGGTTTTCAATTTTTATGTATTTTGCTTAATAGTTTGCTCATATATTCAAAGTATATTTTGGATGACACAGTTAAAAAAGATGTTTTAAAATTGCTGATATTAAGGGGGGCGCGTGCGCGTTGTCCGACTTGAGTAGCTGAACTGCTTTGTGCGGATTTTCGCACGACGATTGGGAGGCGGCCGTGCGCGCTCGGTAATTATTTTCGGAGTCGCGTCGACTCCACTGCCGCCAAAGTGCGCGCGCACGGCCGCTGAACTCGGCTTAAGCGGCGGCTTAGACATCATCCCCGCCCTGCAGGAATGCGTTGCTGAGCGTCTCCTGCAGCTCTTTCAGGGCGCGGATCGTGTTGCCCAGGACGCGGTGGGTGGTGCGGCCCTGGAAATTGGCCGTTTGTAGGCCTTGGGGCGTGCGCGCGATCGTCCGTTGGGCGGTCTTCTTGCGCGGCGGTTGCGGCGCATGGTTCCGCGGGTTCTTCTGCGCCTTCTTCAGCGCCTTTTTCTTCGGCGGTGCGCGCCGCTTGACGCTCCTTGGGGCCTTTGTGGCCGGTTTCCTCTTCTTGGGCCCCTGTTCCCTTGGCCCCGTGCGCGCATGCGTGTTGGCTGCCACATGCAGCAGCGTGTGGTGCGCTAGCCCGCAGGTCTTGCAACTACCCGGCGAGTCGCATTCCCCGGTAGTGTGGGTGAGCGCAAGGCAGTTGACGCAGTAGCCTTGCGCGCGGGCTATTCCCAACCGTTGCGGCGGCTTCATCGCCTTGAAGGCCGGGCACGTCCGCAATGCGTGGTAACGGTGGCAGAGCCGGCATTGTAGGCAGTTGTCTGTCTCTGCCGTTGGAGCCAGGGGGCATGCCTTCCGTGCTGCCATGATGTCTTCGATCTGTAAGTAGAAGCAAAGGCAGAGAAACGAGAAGTACTTGGGTACAATATTTAAACGGGAAGTTAAGACCCTTAATATACAAAAGGAAAGGATGTATAGAATTATTTATTGTGCTTTTGGAAGGAAGCACAGTTTGACAAGTGGCCGCGTGATAACTCCATTTTGTGTACGGACTTCCACAACACGTATGTGGTTATCAGGGCCATGGCGAACGTTTTCGATTCGTCCCAATCGCCACTCGGTGGGGGGGAGTGAATCTTCTTTGATCACGACGATGTCGCCTGGCTGAGGGTCGCGTTGTGGAGTTTTCCACTTGTACCTCTTCTGAAGATCTTTGAGGTAATCTTCTTTCCAGCGGCGACTAAATTGGTGGTGAAGTGCTTTGACTTTCTCCCATCGGTTTAGTAGAGAGAGGTCTTCCGCATTAGGCTCGGGAATGGCCAATAGCGGTGCACCTCGAAGGAAGTGACCCGGAGTAAGTGCTGTCATATCAGCTGGGTCTTGAGAAAGTGCGGATAGAGGCCTCGAGTTGAGGACTGCTTCAATTCGCACCAGAAGCGTCGTGAATTCTTCGAAAGTGAACTTGTGGGTTGCAGCGGTTTTCTTTAAATGGATTTTAAAGCTTTTCACTGCAGATTCCCACAAGCCGCCCATGTGGGGGGCGCTGGGTGGTATATATTGCCAGTTGATGCCTTGAGGGGCATATTTTTTGACAATGTCTGCGGAACATTCGTTAAGGAATTTAACGAAGTCGCGTTCTGTTGCGCGCTGGGCGCCAATGAACGTTTTTCCATTGTCGCTCATCATTTTTGAGGGAAAACCTCGTCTGCCAACGAAGCGGGCGAATGCTGCTCGAAAAGCTTCGGTTGTAAGATCCGAGCATAGCTCGAGATGCACTGCCTTTGTGGAAAAACAGACAAAAACTGCAACGTATCCCTTGATAAGGGTTGTAGATCTTAACACCGATGCTTTAATGTGGAATGGCCCAGCAAAATCTACTCCCGTTGTGGAAAATGGGAGTGAGAAACTGCAGCGCTCAGGGGGTAGAGCGGCCATTATTTGGGTGCGTGTTTGTTGCTTGTACAGCGTGCACACTTTGCATTGAAAGATGCATTTTTTAATTAGAGGTTTCAGCTTTGGTACGTAGTACTCTTGCCTTACCATTTGGAGCATTAATCGTGTTTCTGCGTGAAGAAGCAGCGAGTGTAAAAACTCCAAATATAGCTGGCAGAACCTCGATTCGGTAGGGAGAATTATTGGGTGCCTTTCATTATAGCTTAATGTGGAATGTGCTAATCGGCCATTAACCCGTAGAAGTCCGTCTTTGTCCAACGAAGGATTGAGAACAATAAGAGGACTTTTTTTGTTAAGTGGCTTTTTATCTTGCAAAGCGCTTTTTTCGCGCGGAAAATGGCGTGATTGCGCTGCGTTGATAAGATGAACTTTTGCATATTGAAATTCGTTATGTGTCAGATGTGGATAGGTGATTGTGG